AAAAGATACTTTCACAATTAAATGAGTTGAAAAATGAGACCAGAATACCTAATTTTTAGCTCCGCTGTCGAGCGGAGCTTATCATATGAGTGATTGTCCGCCGTCGTCCGCGCCAACTTTTTATTATTATTTTTATTTATTTTCTTCAAAATTACTAGTCTGATTGCTTTGATACGTGTTGCCTTTAATAGACATTTCTTAGGTTTGTTCATTTCGTGGGGATATCTTTAATTCTCTAATTTTGATGAATATTTTTGGTAAAAGTAATATTTTCGATTTGAAAACGGCAAGTCCGAAGGCTTTGATATTATACATATAGGTGTAGCAGTCTACACCTGGCGCAGTCGATTAAAAAAATCGCGAAATGGAGGTGTCGCAGTTACAGGGGATTTCGCGCTAACACCTTCATTTCGCGATTGTTTTTATTTTATTTTATTTAAACTACAAAAACAAATTAATCACCCCGACTGCGCCAGTCTAATATAGGTGCTACAGATGGCCGTGGAAGCAACGTCTTGGTAAGAGAACTTCGGTGAGTGTGCGGAAGACTCTTACACGTGTAGGTGCCAGTCTCCGTACCCCAAGGAAATACTACACACATTCGTTCGTTACGGATGTTCCAGCTTTATTCATCCAAACGGTCAGCTGAGGTAACCCCTCGCTACCCACTTCTCTCCCTCCCTCTGTTACAAAGTCTTAGTACAAACTCTCTCCTAAATCTATATAGCGTGGAGGAGTAAACATGCGAGCAGCCAATCGCTGCAGTCGTTGGCACGATCACGTGATTACCAGGGATGTGTCTCACGGTTAAAGTCTTACAAAGTTGCAACTACTAAATGCAATTTATTTATCAAATTCCTGTAATATATGTCTACCCCAAACATGCAAGTTGTTGATTCTAAACAATACTGCAACGGCGTGTGAACCAAATGTGCGTACGTGATGTCGCTATGGTAACACCTCTTATAGAGTTGTTCATTTTCAATTCTCTAATTTAGATGAATATTTTTGTAATTTTTTGTAAAAAGTGGTATTTATGACTTCTTAAAAATTGCATGTCCGATCGCTTTGATATACATTATTACAAAAAATTCCAAAAATATATGTACTACAGGTGAACTTCTAACAAAATAGAAAATATTTCTGATCCGGGTTATGATTACAACATAATGACATTTTATAAACTCTTGGATATTCTTAATTATTGATAAGGCTGAACAATTGAATTTTTATATAAACTTTATGCTCACATTTTGCATAATTTTTGCCGGAATAAACTACAATTTAGCCAGTCGTACTGTTTTAAGTAGCATACTAGATAGTGGTGCATATTTTACTGACAAAATTGGTTGCCAGTGGTTGTCTGGGGGTGTCTCGTTTGTGTTCGTGTATTCGTCTACACCAAACGCAGCTTGAATATGTCATGATGAAATTTGTTTCACAGTTGCAGTACTGGTGTTGTTTTATTTATGCATATTTGATGTGGTGCCATTGAGGTTTGGTTTCTACTGCGACGATCCAGATATCAGATACCCTTATCTTGGAGACACCGTTTCGGAGCTGATGTTGGTTGTTTGTGTTTTGCTTCCTCCAGTTGCAGTGGTAGATATAATATGTGTTTATTAGTGTGATTGGTCCCTGTACAGGCACAGTCAGCTGGCGTACAAGTAAAAATAAAATAAATGTGATTAATCTACCGATATTTACTATATGGGGCAGGTACCTTGAATATGGCTTGAAACTTTGATCCGTAGATACTAGTAGTTGCCTCCATATAGTAAATATCGGTAGATTAGTCGCATTTATTTTATTATTACTTGTACGCCAGTTGATTGTGTGTGTACATGAAATATGTTTGATATTGCATCGTGATAAAGCTAATAACATATTTCATTTGTAATATTCGAAATATCTACAAACGATTAGTTTGAAGTGTTTACATTCTGTGTAAGAAAGAAAAAGACGTAGGCTCATGGACAATATGCGTTATCAAACGTGTTCTCTAACCATAATCTCATATTGCTCTATCTTAAAAACTTTTTCTGCTGTAAAATGTTTTAACCGGTAAATGTTTTAAAATTAGATAAAACTGTACACTCAAAGTTATCCTCATTTCCTCTTTACGTGTTAAACTAATTGTAGTATATATACACTGTTACGGTGGGTCAGTTGGCAAAGTCATTGGAAATCCCCATGTATTAACATCACTGGTAGTTACAGCCCGTGATATTACCCTGGGCCATCTCTTCCTCGAGAGCAACTGTCGATACACATTCGACTATTTCAGAGTTTCCTATGACACAATTTGTTTTCCAAACAGCGATGTTTCCTGTCATCTAATGCACATCCCTCTTTTTTATTTTATTTTTCTCTCTGACAGTTTATAATTGGAGAAGTTTTATTTTATTTTCTACGAACTCGGAGAATAGAAAGAAGACGTCATAGATGTTGGCCCTTTAAGTTAACGATAAATCCTCTACTGGTTCGCATTTATCAAATCGTCGCACTTTATTTCTTTGGTGAAACGCTGAATGCCATATTCACGTTACTTGGCAAGAGGCTAGGAGGTCAATTGCGTCCTCATTTTCTAGCGACATGTGTGCCTGATTATTCACTATTTAACTGTTCAGATGTGATGATAACTGGTGACGTGTGTACCGGCAACTCGAAGGACATACAAGACGCAATGTAGGTATACGGCTGATGACTATGTTATACACCGTGGGCAATGACACGGCTAATCATTTCTTTTTTAAGGTTTTCGCTCAACACTGAAGCACAAATGAGTATTTGAGTATTTCGTCGCTGTGTTTCAATTTTCATACTTTAGGTTACTGCACCGTCCCTCAACACCGGTGGTTACTGCAAACATTCGTGTATTTTCACGTAATAAAAAAACAATCCCCACGACCCCGTTACACACTCAAGTCTCAACGTTCTAATAATAATGATAATATGATAGAAATATGCATCCATTATGCATTTTTATTCTGAAATCTCCCCCAGTCACTGTCACGTACTCTGGGTTATAACACGTAACGCATTGTATGATTGGTGCGAAATGCACAACATTTAAGTGGACATACTCTTTCTAATTCAGTTATTATGTTTCTGCGAAGTTAAAAACAACATTTTAAACGAATTCCTGTGTGGACATCGTCCATTGGTTTCCTGTTGAGGTCGTTATTGGTAACTATTGCCCTCTGTTTGTCAACTATTTCTGCGTTTTACGCTCAAATCTGCATGAGCGAAGGCTACGTGGGCCTCAAAAGGTCTCAATTGTATACAGCGCCACCAGTGGCTGTTCCCGGTTCCATACGTCCAGAATGCATTACGTCTCCACTAAACAGGCTTGGTCCTAGACTGTCGACAGTCCCTCTGGCCTTACGTGTGTGGTTTTTTTTTATTAATATTAATATTAATCAAACGCCGTAGGCGTTTGCGAAATGCCGAAGACATTTCAAGCGAGGGCCGTGAGGCCCGAGAGACTGTTATAGCCTGCAGGACTGGCCTTGCTATTAATTATGCATGCATCTCGATGACGTAGTAATAATTTGCATATGGGCGGAGTTAAACTGTTATGCAAAGGTCAAATCGCGGGGTTTTTTTATGTCACGCATGACTTTGATCGTCTCGCCGAGTATAGATCGTTTTCTGCCAAGTATTATCATAGACCCTCTTTTAGAGGGTCCATGGTATTATCCAGAACTACAAGTTGCGAACGCGAGTTATCTAATTTTAAACAAAGGAAGAGTGCGTTGGTGTCTCATGATGTACGACAACATTTCGCCCAGTAAAACTCCGACGAAAGTAGTGAGTAAATTGTGCATTTCCCCCCGATCCAATGACTTGTCGCTGGATTGGTCGAATACTTTCATACCCAAGTTTCTTCAACGCCAGCGAAACTGCATCGTCACAAGCCATCTTCAAAGCAGTGCACTGAACGAAGTTTATAAACTATTGCGTCGTCTGGTGGCTCAATTTTTTTTACTTCCTGTTGACCTGGGACTGCGTGACTTGTGATTGGTTAGCATTTTTATGACATCACTCTGCCTGTCAATCATGATGGTACGCTACAGGAGAATTTCTCTACAGTGGCGAGTGGTGGCGCAGCAGGCTATAACAGTCTCTCGGGCCTTACGGCCCTCGCTTGAATGCCTTTCGCAAACGCCTACGGCGTTTGATTAATATTAATAATAAAAAAAAACACACACACACGTAAGGCCAGAGGGACTGTCGACAGTCTAGCTTGGTCCAGTCATATTGTGTTATATTTTCTCAATAGAGGATACATATTAGTAGTCGTGAGGCAATGTGTTATTACAGGGTGTACTTGATATGTGTTTTGTCGCGCATTCGCATTTCAAACAATGTACGTAGAACGCTCAGATGCGCACAATGTATTTCTATCCTCGGGGGCGGACATCCGGGCATTTTCTACCGCCCGGCAACCCTCGCGGTGAAAACAAAGACCAAAAACTCGCAGAAAACGGTACTTTGCGATGGTTGTTGAGAATCCCCTGAACAGTGTAACAAGATTAGCCTTACGTGTGTAACAT